AAATTCTCTCTTTCTGTATATAGTGCCTGTTTCAGGTGAGGGGTTTTTGAATCTCGAGTGTAAATAGTAAACATTCTTATTATAGAGTTCACTTTAGATGTTTTTCAGTTCAGTTACTGGTTTTGTATAATGGATAGGATTGTATAAATGGATAGGATGGGGTACAGTCGAAAATATATCCATTTCATTGGTTTTAGAGTTCGTTTTGTCTTTCATAAATTAATTAGAATAATAATTTTTTCACACCAAAACTATAGAAGAAACCCATTTTACACGTGGATTATACCGCTATATCTCAAAGCTCCTGCTGAATGCAAATAGATACACACTTAGATTCTGCGTGCTGTCAACACTTTTTACAGACATTTACGACCGCATCGAAAAAATCGAGAAAACCTTTGAAGAATGAAATCTATTCTAAAATACGATTTTTGGATTCTCCATCCAGAGTTACCTATAAATCGGAGCTTTTACCCTTTGAAAACTTTTCCTCATTAAGAAAAAAGGCACCAACAAGTTTTGTTCAAAAATTGAAGAATTCTGTACTTTAATTGTAGCGATATTATCATATATTTGATTTTCTTAAATGCCACATCATTCGAACGAGCACAAAATATTCAACAAAACCTGATATTTTTCACGTCTTATATAGATTTTTCGCTTATTATAACAACAAATTCGATCGACCTGGAGCAATTTTTAGCATACACAATGCATTATAGTAGATTGAAATACAGCCTTCGTAACAAGTTGAAAAATGCACAACAATGAGTACCATTAGAATTAGTATTTATACGCCTCTATTTATATATTACACTTGTATTTATTGCGAATACATACATCGGCATACATATACTCCAATGTGTTCGTATATATATGCCGATGTATGTATTCACAATACAATCAAAGGAACCGAAATTATACAAAATAAAATAAAATAAATTATAATTTAAATCTTGACATGCTACCTAACCAATAAAAAGAATTACTAAATAAAAAATGCAACCGAATAAGGACAAAATTTAATAAAAGTATTACTAATTATTAGATTTCTGGTAATATTTAACATTGTATATATAACAGGTGCTTCAGAATAAATTGGTCACTTAGTATTTTGCCGTGAAAAGGATGTGCCGTGAAATTCTCTACAAAGAATATATTAAACAGTTTTCTATATACCGTAAACATAAAAGAATATAGAAGAAATATTGCGAAGCTTCAATCTCGATTACTTTGCAACGCAAGAAACAATGAAAAAAAAATTTTTAAGGACGGTGTCATGCATAAAGGTGAAATCAGAACGTCAGTTCTGATACTCTGAAGTGTCGTCTTTTTTTCGTCTATCATAGGTTCGGTTTAAACGTATTTTTCTGGCACAAAAGACAATTGTACGAAAAGTTTGTCTTTTTCGCCGTGACACAGGAAGCGAAAAGAAAATCGTAAATCGTAAAGAGAATTTCAATAAATCTATGTGCCAAAATAAATCTCATGTATACGTATACATACATCAAAAGAAACCGATAATATATCGAAATGTCATTAAAGTAAATCCGTTGTGCCGTGGCAGAACGGCAGAATAGCAGAGAGAACGGCAAGAATTTCGAAATGCTCGCTTACCTTAAAATTCAATTCTGAAAAGTTGAAAAATATCAGATTTTATCCAGCTCTTTAGACAGTTGTATAGTTCGACGTTTCAAAATAAAGAGTAGAGTTGAAAATAGTTACATTAAATAACCGTCGCTTTTCGAGATAGAGTCGTCTGACTCCATTTTTTTTTAAAGAAGTTTGTATCTATATGTTTCACCTGTTATGGACTTCCTTAACTATCCTTTATTTTCTCGTGGATCGTCTCTTAGTTATATACTGGAATTATTACAGTAAAGAAGTTTCTGAATAATAAAGTATATCAGGAAAATGTAGACTAATTGAAATAACACTGAAAATATTTAGAAATTTCTGTCTTTTGTTACAGTAGTTGTTCAGGTAACGGTATTGATGAACCAATTCTGTATTTTCAATTTAGACAATATAAATGTAACGATGGGCGGTTAGATTATGACTGTTCCATTACATCTGAAACAACGTCAACTACCCAAGGAATAAACACCACTATCATGATATACGTCCAGAATCCATCTCAAGGTTTTTATTAAAATATTTCTAGCCCCAACACGCATGATGAAAAAATCCAACAATAACACGTAAAATATTTTCTGCCAGAATTTCAAGTCCGTTTGCGGAAATTTTTTTTAAAATGTCTTCCAGAAACGGATGAAATAATGTAGGGGTGTGAAAAGAAAAAAAAGCAGATAGCTGTGCGATATCTTATTTTCATCAGATGAAGGTTTTTCTTACAGATATGTATTTTTTTGCTAGTAAAAACTTCTTTATACATGGAAATGATTCTTGAAATAATCTTGAAAGTAGAAATACTGTCGGCTATTCAGTTATAGCAAAGTTTTGTGGAAAATTGTCTATTTTGGAAGAGGTTTCGGTTAACTGATTAAACAATTGATTTGTGCTGCAAATTCGAATGTATTCTCCTTCCCTTTTAATAATTGTAATTTTTTCCAGATCTCGTCTGTGTAGGACATGTTCGGATCATCGGTAATTCTGTGATATTCGTCGCGTACTTCATTTAATACATCTGTTATGAATGTTAAAAATGTTTCCTGAGAATTATTCTTGTTATTAGCCTTCTCTAGTAATACCGGTTGAACATTTTCATTTGATAATTGTTCAATAATCATTTGACGATAATTAAAATTCCCTTTTGTTATTATTGGTATAATTTTAGTAGCATACTGAAACAACTCGCCAACCAACGGATTTATTTTCATTCGTTCTACATACTCTTGAATATCGTTTTGAGATTTGAAGTGGTCACAGAATGTGAGTGCTAAAATGATATTTTCACCTTTCAGTCCGATTAGTTTTAAATAGTTCAACAGAATAAATAAATAGATGTGTGTATCAGGCTGAATATTTTCCTCGTATTTAAAACATATGATGATGCGATCCAGCTGAGAAATTTCGTTGTTTAATAAATGTTGTAATATATCTTCGTATTTAATTTTCAAATGATTGATACCTTGAAAATCGCATGCTCGAATAACAAGGTGATCAATCGTTGTTTTGTGTAATGAAAATAAAATTCTTTGACCCGATGAATTACTGTCGGTTGGGATGCTTAACAATGATTTTAATAGCGATGATTTGCCTGAAAAAAGAGAGAATTTAGTGGGTATACTACAAAAACATCTCTGAGTCACATACCCGATTGCGTAAGACCTAGTACAAGTAAGTTCACGTATTGTTTTCTCAATAATGGAGCAACAGGAATCCGTGGCGATGGATTTGGTAATATTTCTGGAGGATCCACGTTGTTTAGGGGTACAACATTGACTAAAGGACGATCAGAAACTGGAATAACCACTTGGCTTTGACCAAGATATCGTTTAAGGGCCTAGTTACAATACCAAGGAATTAATCTTATCAATCATAATCTATCGATCAGAAGAAGAGGACAAAAGTGCAAGGGTTCATCAAATGATCCTAATTTTTTCCTGGAAAAATGACTACTATCCGTTTCAAAGTATATGGATGGATGTTTTCGGAATAACTTTCAAAGAACAGGATATTAAAATCTGCACTTTTCTATGATCTATCTGATGGCACTGCCAAAATCTAATAACTCAGAATTTTTTTCAAAAACGTTTTCCAGAAAACCATCTTAAAACTCAAGTCAAAAAGTAAATGTTTTCTATTTTTTGACGGTGCCATCAAGTAGACCATCAAAAAATAACTTTATACTAAAATTTAAACGATTCGGTTGTGTTTTCATGAAATTTTGAATTTTTAGTTATCTCTGGATACCTTGACTTTAGGAAAAGACTTCAAAAGTGTTTTACGTGTTTCGCTAAGAAAACATGATGTTTGTAAAGAAAAAAGCAAGAAGTTATTACTCCAATTTGCGCTGCTACAGTTTGCATTACTGCAGTTTGGACTATTCCAGCTTGCACTATTACACTTTGGACTAATGAACTTTGCACTGCAACCTTGATTTCATCGCGGCTGTTTCATGCACCGTGCGACAAAAGTGTCGATCTGTCTAAAAACCAGACACTTTAGTCACAACCGAAAACGAACATTCGTCACTTAACGGGTTAACTTTCGTAACCACTATTCAAACATGGTTAAACTTTCATCACATGCCGCAAGAACTGGTTCGTCATGTGACAAAAGTTATGGTGACGAAAGTGCTGTGAACCATTCTTAGTCAATTCCAAGAAAATTTAGAGTATTCTTTCAAAAATGCCACATTCTGATATAAAATTCTTCTACTGTTTTTGCATAAAATGAATTCCGTTTCGAAAAACAGTCACAATTAAAAAATCTCATAACTTTGACAACCACATTGGTTCGAAACAAAAGTAATAAATAGCACAGACTAAATTATTATTGAAATTGCCCTACCCTTTCTATTTCAACTAACAAAGTTACCCAGAGTTCCTTTTCGAGGTCTGACCTTCTGTTTTGACGGAATAGGGTGTACAGGTTATTTAACTTGAACCGTTTATCTGACGTCACTAAACTGATGGTAAGTGACGGAATTGTCAAAGGTGGATAGAAAATACTAAAAAAATCAAGATCCAATTTCCAATTTCTTAAGTCAATCGCAAAATTTGAGTGGAACAGCGAGCATCCATACCGTTTCTAACTGATCACAATGCTATGGTTACTTTGGCTGCTGTCAGAACTTAATTTGGTAGCGTTGACGCCTTTTTTCCAGAAGTTAATTATCTCGGTGGAACAAATGGGTTAAACTCGCAAACTTCCCTTGAAAGGTTCTTAGTTTTGCTTTACAACATTCAAAACCAAGATTAATTTAAGCGTTGTCCGAGACCTTTCAAAAAACCATAAGAACGAAGATTCATATACGACTTCCAGCAACAAGAGATGTTACTGGCGAAGTTCATAAGTGTTAACGTTTTCTTTATATTTTCTAAGGTGCCGGAAATGCAAACTTGCAACAAAATTATATTGCCGTTCTTTTACACATGGTTGGATATTGCTCGTCGATCTGATCAAGAATATGTGTCTTTTAAGTTTTCTAAATTTTATGGGAAAATTTGTCAACTATTTCTGACAGGTTCCAAAACTGGCCTAATTTTCAAAAAATCGTTTTATCGCTCTTTTTAACATATCAAACTGTTTTTTTTCATATTCTTCACTTAATACTGGGTTTAGAAAGCTCATTCTGATACTATTCAAGTATAATATGATCAGAATGTCATATAGATAAAAAATCAAGACGAACTCAACGGACATGCTCTGAAGATCTCTAGAAGATTTCGAGACGGTCTCTAGAAAACTTTACCGCATAAATCAGGTTTCGTTTAAGTAGTAAGAATTGATGCTGATTTATTTATTCCACTTTAGGTATTTTTTTTTCTATGCTATTTGTGTCATTACTGTGCCTAAACTATCTAAACGTCGTTCTCATTGTGTTAATCTGAATCCTGCAACTAAACGTTGGTCGGACGAAAATGTTCAACAACAGAGTGAAAGTTCAAGCAGAGAGAAGGAAGAAGAAATGGAAACAGATGACAAATCAATTGGTGAGCAACTGAACTTTCACTATTAAAAAGTAGTAAAAGACCATCTGAAAACCCAATTTTTGGGCTAAAAGTTTCCAGAGACACACGGAAGCCTGCTAGAGGTCTCTGAAGTATTTTTCTTAAATTCCTTATGACTTTTTCCCTAAATGAGTACATTATAACGGAATTTGACACAAGAGTAAAGAAGATAGTCGAAATCGAGGTTTCCGTTTTGCGCGTGGAGACCAATAAAAATAATTTTAAGCAGCGATAAAATGAAATCTTGCGAAATTCGAGCGATACTTTTAAAGTTGAGTTTTCAACGATTCTAATGAAGTACAAAAGTCGGTTTCGTATCTTCCCAGAAAAAAACTAAATAAGCTTGCAAAATGCGTATTCCGATTAAGGTCAAAATATTTTGATCATATTATACTTGAATAGCATCAAAAATGAGTTTTACTCAGTTTTATGTGAAGAATATGAAAAAAATAGTTTTGCAAGTTAAGGAGAGCGATAAAGCTGAGAATTAGGCGATGTTTTGAAAATTAAACCATTTTGGAAAAAGTGGCCTATCTGAAATAGTTGACAAATTTTCCCATAAAAATCATTCCAAAAAATTAAAAGACACTTATGTTTGATCAGCTCGACGAGCAATATCCAATCGTGTGCAAAAGAATGACAATATAATTTTGCTGCAAGCTTGCATTTCCGATATCTTATAAATGTGTAATTAATTTATTAAAAAAAGGCGCCAACAGCTTGTAGTGCAATAAAAATTTGGAATATCAGATGGTATTGCTGTATAAATGAAGTCATACTGCGCAGACAAAGGGAGGATTAGCATGAAGATAGTCTCATATTGAAGTTTGATATTTTAACAAGAATATCATACAAATCTGCGGAACAAAGCTGTTGCCACGGTAGAAATAATTCCAACTGATCCGGCCGCCACTGCTAGTCCACCTCCAGTCCCACCTATATTTAACACTTTTGTAATTAATTGTCCTATAATTGGTGTGGTTGTTGTTGTTAATGCCGATAATTGATTTTCACAGAGATTAAATGAAATTAATGGTGCTATACGAGTTAATTCAGTTGCTGCTTCGATTCGAT